CTCCGCTCGGTCACTAGTTGACCCCTCACACCTGGGAGACTGGACGGACTGGCAGAGGACCAGAGAGGAAGTCCCCCGATGGCGGTGCTTCCTGGTGCTGACTTGCGCTCTTCCAGTATTTATGGAGCACTTACGTCGTGCGCCAAGTTTCACGCCACATCCTGGGAGCACAAGGGGGCATTCAGGGATCCTAATGGGATTAAAGGAGCTTTGAAAGCAGGCCTTCTTTGATGTGGACCAGGTGAATGGTCATGAACACGGGCTGGCYGCCCTTCAAGAAAACCGGACCCGTGAGACGAGGACCATGACAGCCCGTGCAGACGGGCACTTACCCCGTCCCAGGACTGCGCTCAGGGCTTACGTAAGTCACCTGTCTTCACAACAACCCACAGCAGAAGTGCTATGGGGAACCCCACAGAGAACCCGAAGCACAGAGAGGTTCAGTGACTTGCCCAAGACCACGCAGCAAGCTGGGGCAAAGGCGGTTCCTAGAAATTCCTAGAAAGTCAGAATAAAGGCAAGACATGCCCCTCCTAGATGAGCAAGGAGCAGCGTCCGGGCCAGTCCTGAGCTTTGGAAGGGTCCTCAGCCCCCAGGGCTCAGCCCCAAAGCCCCTGCCCTATCCTACTGGACAGAAGCAGCTCCTCGGGATCTCGGCCCTCGGCCAGAGGAGACCCTCCCACAGCTGCCATGTCCACACTTGGGCCGGGCCAGTGGGGYGGCGGGGGGCCCAGAACAGGCCTGCTGGGGGGTCCAGCAGGCAGGCCACGTTCTCCAGGGCCAGCTTCCCACGGAGCACGCCGAGGGCGCGAGGAATGGGCACTCGGGTGGGGTGGGACACCAGCGACCCCCAGCAGAGGGGGGCCACGAAGAGGGAGACAGCATTTACGGYCTTTCCCTTCCGGCGGGTACCTTGGCGAGACCTGCCCCTGCAGCAGGGGGACATCCGGGGACAGAGTCCCGCAGGCCACACTGGGGTGACGTGGGTCCGCAGACAGCCGCCCGAGTTCCACCTTGGGGCACGAGCCACGGGCTGCCACCACCTGGCTGCTGCCCAGCTGCGGGGCCCTGGGGGGGGGGAGCCACCCCTGCCCCGTCCTGGGACCCAGCGGGTCGGCCAGGAGGGCTCCCTCCCGGCCCCGCAGCCTCCCTCGCCCCCGGCCCTGCAGCCGGGACTTTTGATGTTTACTTTGTTCAGTCCCCGAGTTCAAAAGGAGCTTGGCAGCGCTGCGCTGGCCCTAATCTCCTCTCAGCTCCCAGCTGGCCGGTTAAGGCGGCTGAGACCCGGGATTAGGCGGCTTTACAGAACCGAAGCCCAGCGGCCTCCCGGGACGGCCCGGAGGCTTCTTTTCATCTTCACGCCTCAGATGGCCCTTCTCTCCCCTAAACAGCTCTCCAGCCGCCAAGAGGCAGTGAACTTGGCCGAGAGGAAGACAAAGGAGACTTTCAGGGCTCAGCGGGTTCTCCCTGGGCCAGCGAGGGGCACAGAGGGACCGACCKCCAGAGGACTCCTGCAGCCCCAGGTGATGGCCAGGTGATGGCCACACAGGGGCCTGCGGTCCTCGGCCACCTCCCCATCCCCGGCCACTGCACCCAGGGTGGCCGGAGAACCAGGAGAACCAGAGATGGTCRCTGCGCCCGGGTCCTTCCAAAGGGCCTCGGGGACCCAATGGTGGGACAGGCCCAGGTGACCACCTGYTGGAACCACAGCAGCCCTGGTCCCAGCTTCACTAGTGGCCACCGTGTCACTTTAAGTCCTGCTGAAGCCGGAATGAGACGGCGGTGGCACAGAGAGGACTTGGAGTGAGGCCCGCGAGTTGGAGCCTGGACTGTCCCCTGAAGGACTGAATKCGAACTCCCTCGGGGCCCCTCCTCCACCCTTGTCACCAACCTGCCCCTGCGCCAACCTGTCACCACGGTGACCTGTCCCAGGAGCGGTCCCCCGACAGGGAGCCACAGGGCTGTTAATTAATTGTCCTGGGCTGCTCCATCCTGCCCTTCCCCTTAGCCACCTGTGTGCCACCTGTGGGCCACCCCCCAGCATCCCCGGGCCTGTCACAGAAGCAGGAAGGACAGAGAGAAGGAGAAGGAAGCCTGGGACACAGAAAAGGGCCGGACACCTCGCTTCTGGGGACACCCAGGCCCCAGCCAGGACCCCCGCTCCCTCCCGGGAGAGGTCTGTGTCCCCCTTTTCAATAAACCCCGCTGTAGGTGCCTGCCGCAGAGAGCGCCCAACATCTCGACCTCATCCTGGGGGGAAGCAGGACAGTCCCCGTCACCCCGTCACCCCGTCACCCCGGTACCACAGTACCGCGGCCAGCGGTCCTGATTTCGGGAGGATCGCGTGACTGCCCCAGATGACAGTCACACTCGCTCTGCCTCCCCCTGCCACCTCAGTTCCTCCCGCGGCCAGCTGCTGTCCTGCACGCGAGGCCGCGTCCCCTCAGCAGCACCTGCACCAGSCGACAGGGAGGTCCCGGCTGCCTCTGATCACACACCGACGTCAGCCCTGGGCCTCGGCAGCCTGTGGAGCCGGTGCCSCTGGGACCCCACGATCTTTTGTTGAAGAAAGAGGCTGAGAAGCTACAGCCCCACCAACCGCACCCCGTCCCTAGCTGGGAACCTGAGGCTGGCAGGTGACACGGTGTCTCTAAGCCTGGCTGTCACCAATGGCTGGAAAGGCCCCAGGCTGCTACCAAGCCTGATGGGCCACTGGTGTGCCTCGGGTCAGAGCGAGGGCGGCCAACCCACCACGGTCCCCTGGCAGAACCAGGCCCCCAGGCCCCGCACATTCCCCCACCTGCCAATCAATGTCTGTCGGCAGCGTCCCCAGAACAGCGGTGAGCGCCCATGGAGTCCAGATCCCCGTATCCACTCACCGCGCCACAGAGGGCAACAGGGAGGCCGGAGAGGGAGAGATCTGCCCAGAGGTCAAGGCCAGCCAGGCCTCAACTGGGAGGGAGCCGGCCCACGGCTCACTTCGTTCCGTCTGCTCGCAGGTGGACAGCGCTTTGGAAATCAGTCACCTGACTTCAGACAGCACCTCAACACGGAAAAGTCCCAGGGGTGGGCTCTGACCAGGAGTTCAAACACCGAGGAAGGCCAGGCACAGGGCCCACCCCTGTGATCCCAGCAGCTCTGGGGGCTGAGGCAGGAGGATCGGAGTTCAAGGCCAGCCTCGGCAACTTAGTGAGACTCTGTCTCGGAATGAAATATAAGAACAGGGCCGGGATGTGGCTCAGGGGTTGAGCACCCTGGTTCAATSCCTGGTACCCAAAACGCACCACAAAATAACCCTCAGGGACGGCGCGAAGACCGAGAGAGAGGACGGTCACAAATGGAAGGTGTCTGAAGGACGGATGCCCACGGATGGTGCGGACCCACGGCGGTGGCMGTCAGATGAACGGACAGGGTGGGGTGAAGGGTGAGCAGCAGACGGACGGGGGACGGAGTGCTGGCTGGTGGGCCCTGGACCGGTGGGTGACCCGTGGGGGACTGGGTGGGGAGTGCACAGCTGGCAGGGGCAGCCGAGGGGGAGGACACGCACAGGGGCCGTGAGATGGCCACGAGGGGTGACCGAGCAGACCAAGGGACGAGGCCTGGACCCACGTAACCAGGGCCAGGGGCCTCGATCCCAGGGCCAGCTGTCGCAGCCCTCCCCTGACTCCCCGGCTGTCCTGCGGGCACCTGATCCCAGCCTCTCTCCACTGCGGCTTCGGGGACCCAGGGAAAGACCAGGTCGGAAGCCCCCGGGCCCGAGTGCCAGGCCACCGACAACCGCCCGTGGACGGGGCTTTCGGTCCCTGGTGCCCTGCGCTCCCCCCGGGGGCTGCTCACAGAGGAGCAAGGTGTGCAGACCCCTGATCCCCAGCCTGCTCCAGCTTGGGACAGTGTCACCGGGTGACTCCTGAAAYCGTTCTCGACACAGCAAACCCAGGGAGCCGGGTCTCCACCTGCCACCGCCCTCGGGCCAGACGGGGCCTGACCCCGCCAGCCCCGGGCACCCCAGAGAGCTTCGTGGCTCTCGCTGCTCCCTATCGAAGCCCTCAGGACCCAAGGCAAATCCTTGGGGACCTCCTGGGACCTCCTGCACCCAGCWCCCAGCTCTGCAGCCGGCCAGCTGCCCACCTTGGCCCCAGCGGGGTCCTTGGACGCCCCACATCGGCCACTCTCTTCTCTGAATAAAAAATGGAACTCGGTCCCACTCAGCAAATGCTCTCAGCTCAGGAAGTCAGCGGTGACCATGCTGGGACCAGGCCCTAGTTCCCACCATGAACGTGGAGACAGAAGCCAGGAAGGTGACGTCATTGGCCAAAGTGACATCTGTGTGTCAGTGGCCAGGGACCCACACACTGGTGTCCCCATCTCCCCACAGTATGCCAGTTCTCTTGGAGAAAGGGACAGTGTGGGGCTGGGTGCCGGGGCGCCGGCCCATAATTACAGTGGCTTGGGAGGCTGAGGCAGGAGGACCGTGAGTTCAAAGCCAGCCTCAGCGAAAAGCCAGGCTCTCAGCAACTCAGTGAGACCCTAAATAAAACACAAAACAGGGCTGGGGATGTGGCTCAGTGTCAAGTGCCCTGAGTTCAAACCCTGGTACCCTGCCCCTAAAAAAAAGAAAAGAAAAAGGGAGAGAGACACAGAGAGAGAGAGAGAGGGAGGAGGGAGGGAGGCTGGCTGCACGTGTGCGTGTGCCTGTGGGTGCGTGTGTGACACATTCCAGGTGCACAGGGTGATGCACAGGAAGAACTGGGCAAAGTGACCAGCTGTGGGTGGCTCTGACCACGTCCTGCCTCAGTCCCTCGGGGCCAGGCCTTGCTACTAACACCTCACGAGGGCCTGGGGTTGATGGGTGCAGGCCAGACGGGCCCTGCAAGCTGGGGCTCCCCCTGGGCTTGGAGCCCTGGAGGGCTGCGCGTCCCCCTCCCCCTGCCCTCCAGGGGTGGAGGCGGCAGCAGCCCTGCCCACCTCTCCCGCAGGAGCCACACTCAGACGCCCAGTACCTTCTAGACGGAAGTCCTCCTCCTCCTCCTCGCTGAGCGCGTCTCTGAGCACCTCGCCCACGAGCTCCTGGGGAGACAAAGGCCGGGGCGTTAGGGAGGTGGGGGGCCGGCAGGAGCCCCCGGGGCGGGGCTGGTCTCTGACGGGAGTGAGGAGGAAGCCAGGAGACCCTACCCAGGACCCTCAGAAGGGAAGTCCCCTCCCCAGCTGCCAGGGCCAGGCAAGTGTCCCCCACCCCCCAAGGCGGCCCCCCCCCCCGCGGGCCACGGGACCAGACCTCACTCTGGATCCTTCCTCCGCAACAGTCTAGGCCCCGGTGGGTCTGAACAGCCAGCCCCTGGGCCTGGAGTGCTCTACGGGGGACCCCTGCCACCCCTCCCCGTCCTGCACCCAAAGCCCTCAGCTGACATCCGGGACTCAGGTTGCAGCAGCCCTTGCCGGCCCCCAGGGACCACCGACCCCCATCTTCCCACTGCCGGCCTGGCACGGGCACCCCCCGGTCTGGTCTGGTGCCCACGTGGCAGGGCTCCCCCGGCCAGCCTCACCGGGCGGCCACTCAGGTGTTATCAGGCTGGCCAGGGGAGTTTCCCTGGTCCACAAGCTGGGAAAYGTCCAGGATGTCAACAGACTCAGGCCCTGTCCATCTATCTGCCCACCGCAGCAGGATGACTGGAGATATGGAGAAGTGAGGCCAGGGCTGGTCAAACCGGCCTCTGTGTTCACTGGCCTTCTGCCAAGAGGAGTTCTGCCATCAAAGCAGACTGCGTCAGACAGAGTTCCGAGAGGCCCCTTGCTGCAGGACTTATCAGGGCTTTGGCTGTGCTTCTCGCACTGGGAGCCTCCGTGTGCAGATGTGTACTGCCGGCTCCCAGCCCGTGCAGACCTCGAGGTTTTGCCTTTCAAAAGCATCGTATGAGCCAGGCACGGTGGCACACGCCTGTCATCCCAGTGGCTCGGGAGGCTGAGGCAGGAGGATCGCGAGCTCAAAGCCAGCCTCAGCCATGGTGAGGTACAAAGCCACTCAGGGAGATCCTGTCTCTAAATAAAGTACAAAACAGGCTGGGGACGTGGCTCCGTGGTCGGGTGCCCCTGAGTTCCATCCCCGGTACCCCCGCCCCCCCCAAAAAGCATCCTACGAGAGTCAGATACCCAGGAATGCCCTGTGGGGAACAGTCTTCTCGGGGGACAGACGGGGCTGGAGGTGTCCTGCCCCTCTCTGCCGTCCCCAGCGATGCCCTGGCCGGGCTTCCTGAACACACAAAACGACGAGCAGTAAAAAGGCCCAGGCAGCGGCTGTCAGCAGCTTCTCTTTGTAAAAAGAAAAAAGGGAAAGGAAGAAACCCTCTCCTCGGGGGGACCTGCACCTCTGAGGCCAGGGGAAGCTTCGCGCCCGCCTCACGCACAGGGCCGCAGCGCGGTGCCCGTGGGGCCACAGCTGGCCGCCAGATGCTGGCTTCCCACCGCTTTGTTTCCAAGACCAGCAGCTCCCACTTGGTGGCGGGGGACGGTCCCCTTTCCAACATTCCAGGGCGTCCTGCATCCCTCAAGGGCTGCTCCAGGTGGCCACTGGGGCTCCGGGTGCCCCATGGACTTGAGAACCAGGCGACTTCCTTCCCCCAGTCCTGGCCGGGCCCCTGTCCTCCTCGCTGTCACGACACTCCTCACCCCCTCTCCCGGGCTGGCAGACGGGGGCTGAGGGCCAGTGACAGGACAGGGCGCACACAGCGGCCCCGTCAGATGGCCAGGGCACCCCAGCAGCCAGCCAACGCCTGCCTTTCACAGTGCCGCCTCCCCAGGGGGCCCGCGGCAGYGCCTCTTACAGGGCAGGTGACCATCCTCCAGAGCAAGCACAGACCYGTCACACTGAGGTCCTCTGCAGACAGGGGCTCGGCGCTGACTTCGCACTGCCCTCCCACACCACCGCAGAGCTGCCAGTGCCATGGACCTGGACTGGCCCCCTCCAAGGGCCACCCCAAACAAGGCACCAGCGGGGCCCCTGTGCCGACCCCTGCCCGCAGGCTGCACAGCAGCCCGTCCCTGAGGCCAGGCCTCTGCGCTCTCCGTGGGGAAGCAGAGCAAGTCCGGAGGCCACCCTCACCCCTGAACTGCACCGGACTCTGCAGGACACTGCGAATGCCCCCTGGCAGGCGTGCAGAGCCCACAAACAGCAGGAAGCCCTCTCCAAGGCTGAGACGCAGGGACGAGCCAGGGTCTGTGGCATGCAGTGTCTGTGGTCCACCAGACCCAGAGGCCACCTACGCTGCAGAGCCAGCTCCGGACCCTCAGGATCCTGGGGCCCCACGGCCTCCTGTGCACCTGGACAGGAGATGGGCTACTGGTCTATGAGATGGGCACCCGAGAAGAGTCACACCACAGSCAAACAGCCGGTGCTCACCGCGCATCTCCATGCCGAGCACCTGCTGCATTCAACGGGCTCCTCTGGCCACCGCCGCAGCCCACTCTCCCTGCCTCTCAGAGCGGGTGACTGGCGGGTTGTAAAGCGAGCGCTGTGATCATCACCAGGGCCAGGAGGCCAGACRGGGCTCTGACGACATTCACGCTGCCCGACTGGGTGGGGCACGGGGACAGACGGACTCAGGCCCTCACGGACGGCCAGAGAAAAGCACTCCGACTACCCGGGGCCTGATGAGGGGAGACCCCCCGGGCCGTGAGCAGGTGCCATGGGAGCTGGCCTCGGAGGGCATGCAGCAGGAGCCGGCCAGACCCCATGCAAACGCCAGCTCTGTCCCCCGCCAGCCAGGCCGCCCAGTGAAGGGACTCTACCCCCTTCCCACTCGAGGGTCTTGGGGTGGCGGTAAGAAGTCAGGAGGTCCCATGGGCACGCGCTCAGCCAGCGCCTATGCCGTGGGTGGGACAGAGCCATGCTAGGGTCACCTCCTCTTCTACTGTTGTGACCCAATGGCTGAGCAAAGCTGAGACTCACAGGTGCCCAGGCAGCTCACGGTGCCCTCCTGCCTGGCACGCTGCTGGCTGTGCTTTGTATTTAACACTCGTGGCCATCACTGAGGCCTTCCAAAGGACTGCCATTATCAAGCTCACTTTATAGAGATCAAACAGACGCACAGAGAGGTCAAGTGACTTTCCCAAGGTCCCACAGCTAGCAATACCCTTCACTGCTGCATTCATGTACAAGAAGCCTGGATGGGACCCTCACCGTGCCGTGACTGCCCCTGATTTACCCACTCACTGTCACTCAGGCCCCCAGGCCACAGGCCTCCTTCTCTTGGGTCTCTGGGACTGTCAGCCTCAGCCTCTGCTCCAGGTTCGGATGAAAAGCCTCCCTGGATGCCCAGGATTCCTGCCCAGGGGCCTGGCTTGGTGGACTCTCTGGCCACACAGTGTAGACACGCCTCCCCTCTGAGTCCCAGCACTGTCCCTTCTGCTGGCCCCCGGAGCCCAAGCTCTGCCCCACGCTGGGCCCCAGGAAGAGGCCAGCTCCTCTGGGCACTGGGTGTGCGGCCAGCACCAGCCCAGGCTCAGAATTGCAGGCGCAAGGCCTTATAAGGCTCCRGGGACGGGAAAACCACATCAAAGCGGGCCCTGCGGAGGGCTGGGGTTGGTGGGGTTCTGCTTTGTCTCCGAGGCCTCCTTCCCGGCCCTCGGTCCCCACCCCTGCCCCAGCAGGCCCGCGTCAATCTTCCTGCTCCCTAAGCGCTAACAGATGTCGGTGCCCGTGGAACACGGCAGGGCGGGGACCTGCCTGCAGGATGCAGGCCACTCCCGGGACCCTCAGGTCCAAGCGGCCTCCTGGGGCCACCCAGGAGATGCCCGGCAAGCCCTCCCCCCAGCCCAGGTGGGAGCAGCTGGCCAGGCCTGCCCCCAACTCCAGTGAGAGCAGGTGAGGCCCTCCTCCTGTCCACCCCCAGGACTGGGCGGGCAGGACAGGCCGCTCCCCAGCACTGGGCGGGCTCGGCTGGGGCCCCGCCACCCGCAGCAGCTGAGTGGCAGCCCTGGACCTCCCTTCCCGGGCCCCCGCTGTCCTCTTCTGTAAGATGGACCTAGAGCTGTCACGGAGGAACCAGTGAGTTGACTGGGACACCCAGGTGGGCAGCTGCCACGGGCCCCTCCCATTCTCCGGAACATTCTCCCAGCTTATCCCCACACCCCGCCACCCAACCAGCTCCACGCACGTGTGTCGGGAGCCACGTTCAAGTTCAGTGACGTCTAGGGCCACGCGGTTCCTGTGAACCAGCGGTCACAGCCACCCCGAGGGCCATCAAAGCACAGCTCTGTGGTTCAGAAGAACGAGGCCGTCCTGTCCATCCCGCTACACAGACGGTGCCCCACACAGGACGGGGGACAGAGTGGACGCGTGGACGCGGGAAGACGCAGAGGCCAGAGCTGCCTGGACGTCTAGGCAACCCAGTGGGCGGAGATGTGGGAAGAGACCACCAGGGCCGACCCCTGGGGGACACTGGAGGAGAAGCAGCAGGTGGAGGGGCGAGACACTGGCCCGGTCAGAGCCGCTCTGACCCTGAACAGATGCTCACTGCGGTCTCCTGGTGTCCATGAAGGCCTGGGGCTGGGACCTCTGGGTCACCCGAATCCCGCTGCCCGCGTCCCTTCTGTAACGGCAGAGAGTCTGCTCAGAAGCTGCCCGCCGCCCTGCAGACATCCATCCTCTCCCGGGGACTGGTCATCCCCAAGGTAAATGCTGTGGAGCAGCCGAGGTTCTGCTGTCAGGGAATGGCCAGGGGATGAGAGTCTGCGTGGGGTGACAGAGTCCCCACCCACCGTGGACTGTCTGCGAACCTGGAACCCAGGGACCCGGGCCACCTGCATGTCCGTGTGGTTGCTGGTCGTGAAAATGTGGCCTGACCGAAGCCCAGACCATGACCCACTTGGCAAGAGAAGGAGCCGAGGCGATGGCCGAGGAGGTGAGAGTCCCCTGGGCCTCGGCCACAGCGGCTCTGGAACGGGCAGCAGTCAGGATGACACTCGGGTCCCTCTGGGCGGGCGTCTGGGGGCCCCGTCCACTCTGGCACCTGGGACCTGTGGCCCTGTTCCCTCTGCCCGGGCTTCTCTGGCCTCCAGAGCCCACGTGGCTC